CCCCCCATACTAACATTTCCACACACATACACAACCCACACACCCTACACATTCACACACTACACCCCCACACACACACTGAACCTTTCACACACATTGCACCACTGCTCCTATTCCCTACTACAGCCCCATATCCCAGCAGATCCCAGGTAAGTTGTCAAACTGTTCTTAAATGGTTTGACTACTTACTCTGGAGCAGTAGTGGTAATTGTGCATAGATTATTTCTTTAAATAATTTACAAGTGCCAGGCTGGCCAGTAGCCAGCCAGTTAGCCAGCCCACAGGCCAGTAGCCAGGCCACAGGCCTACAGCAAGCCACAGGCTTACATCCAGCAAGCCCACAGCCTGCCAGTCGCAGCCAGCAAGCCACAGCCTGCCAGCCGCAGTCAGCAAGCCCACAGCCTGCCGGCAGTAGCCAGCAAGCCCACAGCCTGCCGGCAGTAGCCAGCAAGCCCACAGCCTGCCAGCCGCAGCAAGCAAGCCCACAGACTGCCAGCCAGCAACAGTAATTAAGGTAAGAGGAGCCAACTTGGCCTAGGTATCAGCGAGCTATGTTGTGTTGCTATATTGTGAATAGAAACCAGAGTGTTGGAGAGACCACCCTCCAGGCCCCATTAGACTCCATTGTAGTCTCTAATGGGGCCTGGAGGGGATTCTTTCTAACACACTCTCTAAAGGACACTGAGATAGCCCCCCGCTAGAAAGACCCCCCTCCATGGCCCATTAGCCCTCAATTGTAGTCTCTGCTGGGGCCTCGAAGGGCTTATTGCCCTTTTGTTCCTTGTGTCTAAAGATTGTGTAGGGTGTGGCTGGAGGCGGTGCATGGAGGCGGGACAAGGGTGGCGCTTGCTGCAGAGTATGGGTGGGGCCTGTAAGGGGGCCCTTGATTTATTTTGCCCGGGGGCCCTGAGGGTTCTCAGTCCGCCCCTGTATATATGGTAGTTCACCTAAACATTTTAATAAAGAGAGTGTGATGTTTTTGAATATATATTCTGCAATAATAAACTGAAAAGTTAGCAAGCCCATGGGGCCCCTATGTTCCTGGGGGCAGGACAGCAGCCCAGGAAGCCCATTGCTTAAAGGGATTCTCCAGTGCCAGGAAAACATCCCAAGTTGCTGAATGGGGTTAAAACCCCTTCAGTGACTTACCGGAGTCCAGCGCCGATGTCCTTCCGCTGGGTCAGGCTCCGCCTACGCTCCTCCCCCGCCAATATCACCTAGCGGGGGAGACCTAATGTGCATGCGCAGCCGTCGGCAGGGGAGACCTAATGCGCATGCGCGGCATTGGCCATACACGCGCATTAGATCTCCCCATAAGAAAGCATTAAACAATGCTTTCCTATGGGGATTTCGGCGACGCTGGAGGTCCTCCCATAGTGTGAGGACGTCCAGCGTAGTTTTATAACACTTTTCGTGTTCTAAGAACACGGAAGTCCTTCTAGTGGCTGTCTATTGGACAGCTACTAGAGGAGGAGTTAACCCTGCAAGGTAATTATTGCAGATTATAAAAACTGCAATAATTACAGTTGCAGGGTTAAGGGTAGTGGGAGTTGGCACCCAGACCACTCCAATGGCCAGAAGTGGTCTGGGTGCCCGGAGTGTCCCTTTAACACAGGCCTGCCCAGTAGTTCTGATGAGAGCATGGCTGTAACGCCCAGTGCTGCTGCCCGTGATGCTCTCACTCTGTGGCTGTGTATAACACTGTGTGTGTGTCTCGGTCTCCTATCTTGCTGTGATTGCTACTTTTCAATAAAGATTATTTGGTTGTGGGGGGGGATCGCTCTGCCAATCCGTGACCTCCGCTCTCTCCCTTGTCCGCTAGGACACGCCCACTCAGTCAGGTGATCTCCGGCGCTGCCTCGGTCTGTTGTGCAGTGTGATTGCTGTCCGCGTGCCGCTGGTACCTGTGCGCTCTGTGTACGCTGTAACCATGGATACCGCTCGCCAGTACCAGTTCGTGGTGTTCGGGGCCTCAGGCTTCACCGGACAGTTCGTGGTAGAGGAGCTGGCTCGGGTGCTGGACGGGGCGGAATTCAGAGAGTCCAGGCTCCGCTGGGCGGTTGCAGGGAGAAACCAGAAGCGGCTGGAGGATGTCCTGTCCTGGGCTGCCGAGCGGCTGTGTGAGTAGTGATGGGTTAACCCGCATGGAGCGCCCTGCGGTGCGATCTAACACGGCTTCAGCTATCGGCAGCATCTGCAGTGGAGGGTAAAGGGCAGTCCGAGCTGTGCTGGACAAGTGCTGCCCTGCAGTATGTAGCATTAATGTGCTGCCCTGCAGTATGTAGCATTAATGTGCTGCCCTGCAGTATGTGGCATTAATGTGCTGCCCTGCGGTATGTGGCATTAATGTGCTGCCCTGCGGTATGTGGCATGTGGCATTACGTGCTGCCCTGCGGTATGTGGCATTAACGTGCTGCCCTGCGGTATGTGGCATTAACGTGCTGCCCTGCGGTATGTGGCATTAACGTGCTGCCCTGCGGTATGTAGCATTAACGTGCTGCCCTGCGGTATGTAGCATTAACGTGCTGCCCTGCGGTATGTAGCATTAACGTGCTGCCCTGCGGTATGTAGCATTAATGTGCTGCAGGATGGGAAAACAAGACCTGAATCCTCAGTGCAGCTTGCAGGATGTGATTGGAAATGAGCCAGTCATCATTTTATAATGTGCTGCTGATCAACATGAAGACATTATTCTTGTCCAGATATACACAATCAATCAAGCAACAGGAAATGAGCAATAAAAAGTAATTTGTTGGTTTTCAGACCATTTACTCAGGGCGCCCACACACACACACACACAATAGTACTGAAGGTGTTGGTGTTCCCTGAGGACTGGTAACATGAGGCAGATAGAGGAGTAGAGAGCGGTGATGCCTTTATTAGTGAGCCAGGTAGTGTTAGAGTGCATGCTCTATAGCCATGCAGATTTATTTAAAAGGACACTACAGGCACCCAGACCACTTCAGCTCATTGTTCACACTGCAGCACCAAGTCTATCTCCAGTGGCTGTCTACCAGAGGCGCTTCCTGGATCCAAACAGACCCCATGTCCGGTAACTGACACTGGATGTCCTCTTGCTCTACGTGAGAACATCCAGTGTCGGATTTTCCCCAATAGGAAAGCATAGATTGAATTCCCATGGAGAGATATGATGAGCGCGGCATTTTTTGCGCATACAGATTAACATTCACTAGTCACAAGAAGGAGGAGGCGGCGGTAAGTAAATAAAGGAGGGTAAGGTAAGTATATAAATTGGTTTTAACCCTTTATTCATTGACTGGGGGGCACGAGGGAGGGGGGAGGTGGAAGGAGCTATAGTGCAAGGAAAACAACTTTGTATTCCTGGCACTTATACTATCCCTTTAAACTTTCATTCTAAATCTATTTGGTTAAAAAATGTCATTTTGTTATGTGCCATGCACTTCTGTGGTTAAAAGGTAGTTGTACCTTCTTAAATCTGCCCACTATCTAGACTTGGCTCATAACATAACAGGGTTTTAAATATTATCTTTTCTAATTTCATAATCTTCCACTGGCACTCCTTAGTATGTTCAACCTTTGGCCCAAATTGCATTCCATTGCCATTATCTCTCATTAATCTAACTTTGTCTCTGATATGTAAAATATGTATAAATATCATTTGAATGGTTACACAAATGAGAAAATATGTGCATGGCAGTTGCTAGACTTGTGCAAAAGTTGTTTTTAGATGGTTTGTTTGAATCAAATGACTTTAATCCACAACTGGTTGAATCGATTGTCAGGGATTTACCTGTGGAGTGTTAAAGGAACACTGTAGTCACCAGTTTAATATAGTTGTTCTAGTGTCTACAGCCTGACTTTGCAGGCTTTTTAATCTAAACACTTCCTTTTCTCTGAAGGAGGAGGAGCGGGTCGGGGCCAGCTCTAGAAGAATAAAATAACCTTTTTTAACAGTGGCGGCAAGCTACCAAATAGCACATTTAGAACTAGAGTGTCAGCAGTACATATTTGTATTCCTGACACTATATCACATCTTTAATTAAAAGGCGTTTGATTTGGACAAACCGTCCAAAACAAACTTTTGCGCAAGTCTAGCCTATAGCTACCTCAAACAAAAAGGAATGTTGAAAGAGAATGTGAAAACCAATATGAATATAAGATTTAGTACCGATGTCTCACTCAAGTCACATCTTTTTGTGTCTCAGTTTAATGTCGTCATTCCTTCCCAATGAATTCCTCAAATACAATGCTCTCTTCTACAGTTACTTCATACTCCATTTTTTATTTTTTTTTAAAACTCTTCTTCTTTTTGATATTTCTGTTTTCGCCCATGTCATTCATTCATTAATTTCTATTACTCACTTCTGTATTAATTGCATACAATTTTGCATTATTATACCCAGGGATGTAATCATCAGCATTCATTATAGACTGTACCGGGGCAAGCTGTGAACACGTAAGACCACTGAGAATCGAATTACAGTAGTCAAGGCGAGAGAGGACAGCAGCATGAACTTTGCTGTATCGGGCGTTAAATAGGGTCTGATGCGCGCAATGTTTTTGAGATGTAAGCAGCAGGATATGGCGATTGATTGGATATGAGGGGTGAAGGAGACGGTGGCGTCAAAGAGTACACCTAGGCAGCGAGCCGTAGAGGTAGAGCGGATTATAGAACCATTGACTTGGAAGGACACCAACAAGGGAGTAGCAACACTTGAGGTAGGGAAGACCAGAGGTTCAGTTTAAGGAAATGAGCAGCTATCTAGTTGGAAATAGCAGAGAGGCAGTCAGAGACACGAGTCAAGAGGGGTGATGAGAAATCAGGGGAGAACAGATACATTTGCTTGTCATCTGCATAGAAACGATACTGGAAGCCAAAGGAGCTGATGAGTTTACCAAGGGAGGCAGTGTAGATTGAGAACAATAGGGATCAAGGACAGACCATTGGAGAACACCAACAGAGAGGGATTGGGGAGAAGAGCCAGAGAAAAACACTGAAAGAGCTCTGGGAGAGGTAGGGAGAGCACCAGGAAAGAGCGGTATCTCTTAGACCGAGATTATGGAGGATGAGAAGAAGCTGTTGATGATCAACAGTGTCAAAAGCAGCAGAAAGGACGAGGAGAATTAGGATAGAGTAGTGGCCATGGGATTTAGCAGTGATAAGACCATTGTATACGTTGGTCACAGCTGTTTCAACAGAGTGACAAGCGCGGAATCCAGGTTGAAGCGGGTCAAACAGAGTTAGATTCGAGGAAGTGTGTGTGTGTGTGTATATGTATGTGTATATATATATATGTGTGTATGTGTATATATATATATATATATATATATATATATATATATATATATATATATATATATATATATATATATATATATATATATATATATATTATACACACACTTCCTCGAATCCAACTCCCTGCTTGACCCGCTTCAATCTGGATTCTGTGTGTGTGTTTTATACATATTGGTGAATATGCACTTTGAATGCAGGGCATTTTGATTTTGCATTCACAAACACTGACACCTCATACAGAGTCACTGGGGGCAGATTATTAGCCTGGCAAAGGACCTTTACAAGCATAATAACCACAACTTATTGCAGTGGTTATGGTGAACGTAATCTTGTGGTAGAGTCACAGGATGTTAACACTGCTATTACAATCTATGGGGGCAGTTCATTCTGATTTTGTCGAACTGTTTTCAACTAGTTTTTGACAAATTTGGAAATTACCCCTGAACCCAAAGAACACTTGGTCTGCATGGGATGCAGTTACAGCAGGTATATAAAGATATTTATCAAAATATTCTGAAAATTGATGGTTAAAGGATTGATGTAACCATTTGGAATGTGGGTGGGGAGCATTTCTGTGTAAAATGCCTTATTGGGCATTGTGGAGGAGACCCCCATCTGCTCTGATTTTTCTAAAACCTGCAAAATGAAGGTTTTTACTCACCTGGAATCCAGCATCTGGCAAGGTCCCTGCAACAACTACCGCACCACCTCCTGACATCGCTGGGGATTCCACGGTCCAATTGTGATTGGACCAACTAATACTTACCATTTGACTTGCCCATGTGTGATCTCAGACTCTTGTTTTTGCATTCTTGAAGTTCACTGGGCAGGCGAATTAAAAAAAAAAAAATGAAATTTTTTATTTTTTAAAGGAGCACAGCATTTGCAATGCAGCAGAAGTTTTAAGAGGATCCAGTGGAATTTTATAAGTCGCATTAAAGGATGCTAAGTAACCTTTTCATTTGAATTGCCTTGCCTTTTCACCAGTCATTACCATTTTTATTCCCATATTTTACCATCTATTTCATTCTTCATGAAGCTTCACCTGTCTTGCCTTTCTGTCTTACAATGTTTTCATGTAAATTCTCGTTGAATTGGATTTTTAGTTTAGCTAATCCTGAAATAACAACAAGAACTGGCTTAACAAAGCCACTGACTGAATGTAGGGCCTTGCTTTGCTTACCATATGTACTCATTTTGTTAAGAGCCTCAAATGAGAGCACATTTTAGGAAGCATTCCATGTAAATGTTACGTGTAGCTCTGTATGTACATACACTCTGCAGTATATCAGTGCCGTATTTGTCTTTTGATGGTATTTTGTTTCTCAGTAGAGTACCCAGAATGTCTTTGTAATTCTGTGCCAGTCACTTCTGATTCTATTATTTTGCCGTTCTTAGCTAAGCCGCAGCTGAAGTCGGAGGTTGGCATTATAATCTGCGATGTTAGTGATCCCCCCTCCCTTGACGAAATGTGTAAGAAGGCCTCTGTTGTTCTTGATTGCGTGGGACCAGTAAGTATGATGCAGCTGCCAAACTTAATAGAAGCAAAAAAAAAAAAGGAATGATGCAAAACGACTTTGCCCAGTTGCAACTTCTCCTTTCCTTATGACCCTTGTATCTTACTGATTATACTGTTAGCAACTGAAATGGAACTTCGTTTAATATCTGCCCATAGACAAAATTTGACAAAGATCAAGCACCTCATGAGAAAATGTACTCCATACGTTTTCTTATGTATAACTAAAAATTATGGTAAAAAGCGAAATAGAGGAACAAAAAAATTTAATTTACAAACAAAACCTGTAAACTGACAAGAGCCGCTTTAAAATAGAAAATAAAGTACAAGAAATTGTTCTATGGTGAAATGTACACCTCCCTTATTGAGACACAAACTACACATCTGTGTAGGCCTGTATATTTACATACGTGTGTTATATCATTTTAATTAAAAATAAACAATATATACTGTGGTTCTGCTATGAGAAAATTAAGAAACTTTGTAGTAACACTCCAGGCTGATATTGAGCCCTATTTTGTTATGAATTCTATAGACTTATATCTTGTATAGTGAATACTTTAAAATATGAAAAAAAATAATATATATTAATGTGAAAGACTCGCGTTTAAAGTTCCTAAATCAACAGAAAAGCAGTAACAAGCTCTGCCCTGACCAGAGCAATCAGGAGTCTATCATTTTGCTCCATATGGTTTGAACTTATCACATAAACTGCTATCCAGCAGGAATCTAATGAAATACGCTTCCTAGTTTGGAGACAGGACTGAGTTTGCCAGAGCCCTGATTGTGTGTGTGTGTGTGTGTGTATTTAGCTGAGGACTGGTCTCATTCTCAGAGTAGGTTAGGGGAAATTTGGAAACATGAATAGAGTATAATAACCTGTATGTCCTATAGTTTCCGTCTTTGTTATGTATGAGAAATAGAGCTGGTTTCTAGCTGCACGTTTTTGTCAATTGCCTCCGTTAAAAGCAACTGCTTTAAAAGAGACTGGGAGAAGGGACTCCCTTGCACCACGAACTGTGCAATTTGTAAATGTTTGAGGTGCTTAGTTCTTTCATTTAAAAAAAAAAAAAAAATAGTATTTTATTTTTCTTTGTTTCTGTTCTCCTTTCTGTTATTTTTTTGTTTGTTTTTGTTAAAAAGATATAATAAAATATTGACATGTAACAACACTGAAGAAATGACACTGCTACAATGTAAAGTAGTAAGTGTACAGCCTGCATAACAGTGTAAGTTTGCTGTCCCCTCAAAATAAACTGTTGGCAACAAAAGTGAGTACACTTCTAAGTGGACATGTCCAAATTGGGCCCAAAGTGTTAATATTTTGTGTGGCCACCATTATTTTCCAACACTGCCTGAACCCTCATGGGCATGGAGTTCACCAAAGCTTCACAGGTTGCCACTGGAGTCCTCTTCCACTCCTCCATGACGACATCACGGAGCTGGTGGATGTTAGAGACCTTGCGCTCCCCCACTTTCCATTTGAGGATGCCCCACAGATGCTCAATAGGGTTTAGGTCTGGAGACATGCTTGGCCAGTCCATCACCTTTACCTTCAGCTTCTTTAGCAAGGCAGTGGTCGTCTTGGAGGTGTGTTTGGGGTCATTATAATGTTGGAATACTGCCCTGCGGCCAAGTCTCCAAAGGGAGGGGATCATGCTCTGCTTCAGTATGTCACAGTACATGTTGGCATTCATGGTTCTCTCAATGAACTGTAGCTCCCCAATGCTGGCAGCGCTCATGCAGGCCCAGACCATGACACTCCCACCACCATGCTTGACTGTAGGCAAGACACGCTTGTCTTTGTACTCCTCACCTTATTGCCGCCACAAACGCTTGACACCATCTGAACCAAATAAGTTTATCTTGGTCTCACAGGACATGGTTTCAGTAATCCATGTCCTTAGTCTGCTTGTCTTCAGCAAACTGTTCTTGTGCATCATCTTTAGAAGAGGCTTCCTTCTGGGACGACAGCCATGCAGACCAATTTGATGCACTGACAGGCTGCTTCCCCCACCCCTTTAACCTCTGCAGCAATGCTGGCAGCACTCGTACATCTATTTCCCAAAGACAACCTCTGGATATGATGCTGAGCCTGAGCACGTGCACTCAATCTCTTTGGTCGATCATGGCGAGGCCTGTTATGAGTGGAAACGGTCCTGTGAAACCGCTGTATGATCTTGCCCACCGTGCTGCAGCTCCGTTTCAGGGTCTTGGCAATCTTATTATAGCCTAGGCCATCTTTGTGTGGAGCAGCAATTCTTTTATTTTTATTTTTTTCAGATCCTCAGAGTTCTTTGTCATGAGGTGCTATCGTGCACTTCCAGCGACCAGTGTGAGCGATAACATTCATCAATAGAAAACAGGAAGCACCCACCTAGTCTTAAAGCCAAGAACCCATACAAATAAGCCTTACTTAGACCTAGGCCCTGTACGTACGACCAACAGACATCTAGACCCAGTTTAATCCCCATACCCAGTTTGCTCTCACCCACAACTCCGTGTTGGAAAGATGAACATCATAGATCTTGAAACAATGTATGCGTAACCATATACAGATATACAAAAGACATGAGATGGTATAGAACGACTAAGGTCTACACGCTACAACTTTAGCCCAAAATACACCGATGTCATGCAATGTTAAACTGTAACCTAAACCTGAGGTAGACCACACCGGAACCGATATACCTTTAAACGCCTGATTGACGCTACGTGAACACGTCATATCCCTGCTCCCTCTTTCGTACACAGCGTGGCTGATGCCCAGCAGGGGCGGAGCTATCACCGGCCCTCTTCTAATCAGCATGGGAGGACTTCCTCCCAAGAAGCCTACAGCAGAGAGCAGGAGAAGCTCCTCCAACTCCCAACTACCTCAGGCAGCACTCTGGATCCCAGGTAAGCTACCCTCCTGAACCCACAAAGTAGGAAACAGGAGAGTGGCTAGAAAAGTGTATATTTTGACCAGCATCTTTGTGTGTGTTTGTGTGTCTGTCAGTGTCTGTATGTCTGTCAGAGTGTGTGTGTGTGTGTGTGTATCTATATGTATGTCAGTGTGTCTTTGTGTGTATGTCTTTATGTCTATCATTGTGTGTCTGTATGTCAGTGTGTGTTTATCTGTATGTCTGTGTGTGTGTGTGTGTGTATCTGTATATATGTCTGCAGCAAAATGCATCTTCGCCTGTGTAGTCAAAAATCCTAGCACCGGCCCTGCACCTTACACGCTCTACTTTTCTGGTTGGTTTATTTGTTTGCTTCCACTTTGCAAACCATTTGACAACTCACCTGGTGGTCTGGCAGATGCTGGTCACAGCCTCTTCTGGAGCCAGTAGCTCCTGCTAGAAGCTTCCATTTGCACCACTGAGCTAAACGCTATGGACAGGGCTTGCTCGTTGCTGGAGAGTGACAGCTGCAAGGTTTAGCTCAGGACAGCTAATAGAAGTTCCTGCTTAGAAGATTCCAACTCTCCGGAGATGGTAGTGGAGGCAGGGAGCAGCACCCAATGGACCCCAGGTAAGAAGTCAAACTGTTGAAGGGTGCTTTTACTAGTTACAATGTGGGTCGCAAGGGCACTCCTGAATATAGTGTGACTGGGTTACTGCATGGTGTGTGCATGCAGACTTCACCCTTTAACCCAGTTGTGTAATGATAATTGTTGAGATGCAGTTCTTTATCAGTATATAGGCCTTCCATTCCTATCCAGCTGGGGTTGGATGATGCAAGTTTATATACAGTGCAAAGTTCTATATGACATTCTCAATTAAAAAATAAATGGTTGTGACCTAAATTGTTTGAACCTTAGATACAAAATGGATTACATTGCGTATCTCTCTTAACAAGAAAGATAATCTAACTAAATATCGGTTAATTAGTTTTTGATTTATTGTGAAACTTTTTTTTTTTTTTGACCAGCTTCGTAATGTAATTTGCCTTTTCTATTACAGTACAGGTTTTTCGGTGAGCCTGTAATAAAGTCCTGTGTGGAGAATGGAGCACACTGTGTTGATATCAGTGGAGAGCCCCAGGTAAGTTTCAGATTAGTATATATTTTTTTTTCCAAGTGATGTAAATCTAGAACAAATAGCACGAGATTTATCATGGGATGCAAATATAAATAATTTATTCTATCTATTCGCTACTTCATTGTTCGACTAGTTAACAAGGTATGAATAGGGATAAAAGGGGATTTCTTGGAGAATAATCAAAATATCTTTTACAGACCTCCTTTCATTTTAAATATCTGTTTAGCATGTGACGTACCTTCTCACTTAACACTCTGTTTTGCCTTAGTTCCTAGAAGGAATGTATGCGAAGTATGACAGCCAGGCTGCTGAAAATGGAGTATATATTGTGGGTAGCACCGGATTTGACTCTATTCCAGCAGACTTGGGAGTGTTATTCACACGAAACAGCTTGCAAGGTGTGCACTGGGACTATTTCATGTGTTCTTCAAAAATTAAAACGTATTTTAGTCATCCTTTACCCAATTCACTTTATTTTCACAGATATTTTAAACATACCATCACAGTGTATAAGGAGTGTACACAGACACGATCCCTTTTCTGGTTTCCAATACAGAAACAAAGGGGGGGGGAGCAGAAATTTCCAGTACCTTTTTTTTTTTTTTTGGAATCAGGAATCAGTCAAAAAAACATAGGCATGACCACTAAAGAAAACCAATCCTGTTTTTATCTAGTGCAGAGGAAAGGAGGCCATTTAGAGGTATTCAATAAACTGGTTAATCAACAATTCAAAAATCTAACTTATAAAACGAAATCTAATTTAATTAAGGAGGAAAGAATCTGTTTCAAAAGTTTAAGAAAAAGAGAGGATATTATAATTAAGTAGACAAAAGTGATGGAGTTGTGGTCACGTCATGTGAATATTAGAATATTATTGGGAGGAAACCCTCCAAATTAAAACATATATAAGACTGGGATACAAACCCAGTACAGAGTTAAACTGATCCCTTAAAGTGGTATTACAGAAAGCATTGAAAGATGGTATTATTTCCACAAACCATTTTGGTTTTTTTTTTAATGATCATCCCATTTTTTTTGAATTTTTTTTATTTAGAGGGGCAAAGGTTTAAAAATATCAGGAAGTATTGCTTTACTGAGAGGGTAGTGGATGCATGGAATAGCCTTCCAGCTGAAGTGGTAGAGGTTAACACAGTAAAGGAGTTTAAGCATGCGTGGGATAGGCATAAGGCTATCTTAGCTATAAGATTAGGCCAGGGACTAACTAAAGTATATAGAAAATAGGGCAGACTAGATGGGCCGAATGGTTCTTATCTGCTGTCACATTCTATATTTTCCCAAACTGGAAGATCAATAATTGGTGGCATTAACTCAATAACTGCCAATTTATCAATGTTTGTGGATATATACTTACAGAAATATGCACAGGAATCTATAGCTAATGTTAATGACCCATTTTTTTTTTTTGATTGCTTTTATATACATACACACATTTTGTGGTATGAGTTCATGAATATACCGAATACTGTATTAGATATCCATAACAAGAAGCCTTGAAAATCAATGTTCGTGTAAGTGATGCATAAGCTGAAAATATTGGAAAGAAGGGATCTTCTCATTTTAAAGTACAGTCTGCTGTAGTGATTATGGGCCATGAGTGACCTGGCGCACTCTTGGAGTAAGTGGTCAAACCGTTTAAGAACCCGGGTAAGTTGTGAAACCATTCTTAAAGGACCACTCCACACTTGGGTAAAAAACAACAACCCGTAAACACAGCTAGGTAGATATACCCCAATGAATACATGCATGAATATTTTTATGTATGTATTCATTGATGATATAGTCAAAAACAGCTTGCAAAAACTGCAGTTCTTATGACTGCAGCCTTTGTAAGCCCTCCCCTTTTTGCAACATGTCTCATTCCCTACCTCAAACCCTGCAGCGTGTCTCCCTCTCACTGACCTTCTTGTTGCGGGTGCATGGCGGCTCACTCGGCAAAAATGTCCCTGGCGCATGCAAACATGTAATGAGTGACCACGTGCGCAGGGCCGCCATCAGGGCATGACAACTGTGACAATTGTCATGGGCCCGGCGGCCCGAGCCCCGCGTGGATCAGCGGAACTGCACCAGGGCCCACACGCTGATGGGGCCCATCAGGTGGCCCAATCATTTAGGGCCACCCAATGGGCCCTAATATCTTCAGTAATAGCGCGACCGGGCCCCTTTAAAAAAAACAAAAAATGCAGCCGGAAGCAAGTGCTGCTGGGAGCAAAGTGACGTCCGGTCACTTCCTCCCACTTTACTCCGCGCGGGAAGGACGACGCAGCATGAGGAGAGGCAGCCGATGCCCATCATCCTCAGCCCCCCTCCTGCAACGAAATGGTAAGGAAGAGAGGAGGGTGGCTGGGATGAGGTGTATGTATTTAAGTACATACACCTCATTTCACCTTGTTTCACTGTCAGCACTCTCCCTGCAAGCATGAGAAGCACTTGCTGGTGGAGTAACACTGTGACACTATGCAGGTAACACTCTTCTAACAAGAGTGTGGGGCCAGCTGGGGTACTCCACACCTTTGTCGTGTTTTTACTGTTATTTACTTATTAAGACTTTGCATACTGTTTTCATAAATTACTTTCTAATTTACCGTTTCTATTTCAAGAGTAATTTTGTAATTGTTGCCAATTCATCAACCTTAGATAATTTCAGAGACATTTAAATTCTGTCACAATTTGGTTTAATTCAGAGATGCTTATTAGTGGTTAATTTTAATCAGTTTGGTTACCTCACTTTGCATTATAGTAAATTGGGTGTGTTTGAAAGCTGTCCCAGATTGCTCTAAATAATTTGGGAAAAATATGCTACAGCAAATTTCACCTTTAGTAAATAATCCCTGAAGAGATGTTTGCAAAGCCGTTTTTACACACCCTTTCTGCTAATTGGTGATATGTACACCATATATGCAGCTAGAGTGACCTTGTAGCACTTCCGTTTGCCTGTAAGAGAACTTCAAGATCCTCATTAAAAGACCAAACTTACTAAGGACATGCACAGCTATTTGTTTTAAAGTGTTAACTGTCAATTTAAATATAGGCAAAATGGGGAAAAATCTGCTATGTTTTTAGTTTGGTAATTTTAGAAATGCAATTTGAATTCACTTAGACTAGCGGACAATTCACATTTTAGTGAATAGCCGTATGAATGTAGAACTTGAAGAAAATCGAAGGAACTGAGGTTTTGCTAGCTGAAAAGAGGTTCATATGGAAATTGGAGACATGCTTGTTGCGCATCCACACTGCCTGCCCACACATATGCGCACTGCAGCTTGCAATGTAACAGATACACACTTTCTGGCAGCAGCATTATAAAGGTACCAGTCAAGATACTGCGGCATGTAACTGACATCAATAAGTAGGTGGATAGGTGCAGAGCAGAGACTGTGACTGTAATACAGAACCATCTTATAGTTCAATCAAACACAATGAAATAAACAACTTATATAAAGCTAATATGGAACCAGTAAATCTACCGTGACCAGTTATGAAGGATGAATTACTTTAACAGCCCCATTGTACTTTGCGTTTAAGATAAACATTATCTTTCTGTTGAATTTCACCACCATTTATTGCTAGTTAATATGATATCAGTAAAGGACGAGGGAGGACCTGACTCTGCAACAGTTCTTTAGAATGGTATGTGTATCGAAAGAGGAAAGTAAAGTTCATCATTAACTGAAAAAAGAATGTATTACTTTTGCATCTGCACATTTACATGAATGTTTCACTTATTACAGTAGAAATAAGCTTCATTCTAAAATATACACTCACATTACGACAATTTTAGCCGTTGAATAGCTTAAACTACCCTAACTTTAGGCAGACCTATGACCTGAAGAAAACTTTGAGTTAAAGTATGAAATGACAGCTATATGTTTATATCAACATTTTAAATTATTCTGTTTGCTCCTTGACAACCAGTTTTAAAAAGATGATTGTCATAGAGCAGCCAATCAGATTCATGGCTGCTGTAAGGAGAAATATATGACACTTTTAGCAGCACTGTGCTAAGTCGGATAGGACACTGATTGCAAAAAACAGCAAGTTTGATTGATGATTGGTCCACCTACATCTATAACAGTGTATGTATGCCTGTATATGCCAGTGTATATGTATGTATGCCAGTGTGTGTGTGTATGTATGTATGCCAGTGTGTGTATGTATGCCAGTGTATGCGTGTCTGTATGCCTGTGCGTGTCTGTATGTATGCATGCCTGTGTGTGTCTGTATGTATGCCTGTCAGTATGTATGTATGTATATATCAGTATGCAGTATGTGTATGTATATGTATGTATGTCTGCATGTATATGTGTGTGTGTGTGTGTCAGTATCTCCCTATGCATGTGTGTATGTCTGTTTCAGTATTTGTATCTGTTAGTGTGTGTGTGTGTGTGTGTATTCCTGTGGGCGGGATTTGGAGGCGGGCTTGAATGGGGGCCCAGACCTTGAGCTGTGTTAGGGGCCCCAAAATTTCTGATGGCGGCCCTGCGAGTGCGCACACATGCTAATGAGAGCAAGCGCACAAGCAAACGCACCCTCGTGTTAAAAAAATGAATGTAAACAAAATGCGCAGAAATTTAAAAAAATAAATAAAATAAATGGAAAATAAAATACCACAATACTTTGCGTGGACGGCAGACGCGCTCTATTAGAAAGCGCCTGTTACTTCCATTACCTCAGATGGGCTAACAGAAGTAGGAAGTGACAATCCCCAGCTGTCAATCAAACAGGAGTTTCTATTTTGAAATATAAAAGTGCTAATTTCACAATGAAATTGACACTTTTGTAAATGGGAATTTTAAAGGAATACCCCACAGCAATATAGCATTTCAGAAATGTAAAGTGCTCTATGGGTGTGGAGTACTCCTTTAAATGGTTTGACTATTTACTCTGGGAGGGCACTCCTGGCAACATAACTCCTACACTGGACTGTACTGGTTTCCACCGCAGTGGTCTAAGTGTTCGTCTGGGTGGCTGCAATTCCTATGGCCATCTTGTTTGCATGGAGAAAAACGGCAAATAGACTTCAGGGTGACTTTGCCGCGAATGTCCTGTAACTATTTTCGGCATGAAAACCTCGCCGTTCCCGGTCGGTCCTCCAGCAGCACTTAGCCGCTATTCTATGGGGCTATTTTCGGCTATGGGACCATGCCTGCGGTCGGTAAAAACTATAACTTCCATAAAATTTCTGAACCCCTGAACTGATCTGGGTGATTTTTGGATATGTTGGTCACCCAGATCAGGACTATCAGAGGATGTAACTTTTATGGGGATTTTAAGGTATTTTGGGGGTTTTGTAAAAATGTGTGGGGTTTTTTGTGCTTGGAGTTAATGGAGTTTAGTATAGTGTTTGACTCCATTATCTCTTAAGTAAAGGGAAAGGCTTATTGTATTGTGTGTGGGAGTGTCATACATTGTAAACGTGTTATCATTGGTGTATAAGTTTATGTCCCTGTCCCCAACAAGGTACATGTGGGCGTACACCTTGCTTGGGGACTTGCATAAAAGGCCAGTGTGGCTACCATTAAACCATTCCTGCTTAACCCTCAACACGTAGCCTGGTCTTGTAAATGTAGGGAACCTGATATACAGCTATACTACTAGCTCTTATAAGAGCTTCACAGCTATACTCTCTTGGAGGAGAGGCCCTCCCACTGAGTCCCTGGATCCAGGAGTTTGACCCAGGACGGGAAGGGACGGTGATACCCCAACCAAGCTGCGGCGGTTCGTGGGGTCTATGGTGCTTATGGTGTGCGGTGCTTATGGTCCCCAGTGTCAGCTAGGAAGCCTCGATTAGCGGAGGTACCCAGTCGGGGTGCCAGGCGGTCTGTCAAATGGGGCATTTCCCCAAAAAGGGGTAAACATCCTGAATGGCACTCTGGCTTCATTGCCAGCATGCTAGTGAGATGTCACTCCATTTCATATTCCCTAGCCAGCTCTATCACCATTGGCTCAGTAACCATGGCATTCAAAGAGCATGCTCTGCTACTGCTCTCTGTAAGTTGTTCAGCACAGAGGTCTATGCCAAACGATTGATTGTCAGGTCGGAGAAAGACCTATTTACCCGTTAAGGAATAAAAGGGAATCATGACATGTCATGTGTCCTTAAGGGATTAAAATTAGTTAATTTTTGTTTGTTTTTTATCCCAGTCTATATATTTGCTAACTATTCTGATGGCAAAATGTGTAGATTAAATGCTTTTCTCTATAAAATAAGCACAACCTTGACATATGGTGACCTGTTCCAGAAGTGGCATTTATGCTAACAGGACTTAATTTAGCATTCGAGGAACTTTTAAAAACATTTTTTTTTTTTTTTTCTAAATTTGTATTATTGTTTTATCATATTACAAAAAATGAATGTGATTTGCTTTAGAAAAGATTTCAACACCCTAAATGGCACCACTAGTGAGTGAAGTGCCTTGTATAAAGAATGCTATCCATCTATAGGTGGGACAGTCCCTTTCTGGATGATCTTAACCATTCCCTTCCCAGGCCTCCTTAATTTTACCTAGGACCAGTCTCATTCACAGAAGCATGATCTTTTGGTAAGTTAATTTACAGATATGTTCTATAGCTATATACACCCCATTTATGTCAGAGTATCATACATGTCATGCATGTACTTCAAATACTGTTATTTGTTGCCATTGTTACTAATCACTAATGAATAATTTGATTTATTTTTTTGCTAAATTTTCTTTGCTAGGTACTTTGACCGCAGTGGAAAGCATCTTAACTTTCAAAGCAGGAAAATCGGTTAGTTTAAGTATTTTTTTTTTATTATTATTATTTATTTTTATACTCTAATCAGTTTACTTTTTTTTTTTAAATCAATTCTTAACTGCTTGCAATCTGTTTCAAAGTATGTCCTAAATATCATTTGGCACTAATCCCCCTTCTCCTCTTTTGTAATCTACCTACAGTGTTGCATACATTTTCCATCTCCATTCTCCAGCTTGACTAGTGTCACAAAATCTCACAATATTAACAGTACTTGCACACTGCTTCTGCCATCAGTAATCTGATCCAGATTTAAGTGATCTGCACCTGATGGAGGTGCGGACCACAACGCTCCCTTCCATAGACATTGTGCCTATCAGGGAGATAATTTTTCTCTCCTGGCTCAAGGACGCCCTCTTACAGCCACAGCTTCAGTCCAAAACATTGGCCCCACCAGCCCCTGTCTAAGCCTGGGCCCTAGGTGGCCGCATATACATAGTTATGGTTAATCCAGATCAATCCGTAATGCTAAGTAATCTCTATAAACCTCCATCATTTACCCTGACCTTTCCAAATTTTGTTCCACACAGTCACCCTAATTTAAATGAATTGAAAAGGTACAAAATGGGATCTTGGAATATAGCATGAGAAAATGTACTTAGGCATTCAGGATGGGCAAGTAAAATGCAAATACCCTTGTTACTGCACATCAATGTTATAAAATCTACTGCTTTTACCTTGCACATAAGTAAGGAGCACATGATTGGCAGTTGTTCAGACTTTGCTTCCAGTCTCCATAAAAAGTTGTATCACATGCTAGAATGTTGTATCACATGCTGGCTATATTCTCCCACCCTCTCATGATTTCAATTTGTATTTTTTTTCTGTTAACAGGGTACCTGCATTCATGACGGAACATGGCAATCTGCTGTTCATGGAGTAGCAGACCAGGGTAATCTTAAGAAACTCAGGAAGCAATTGGCATGTAAGCCACTTCCAGTCGTTGGTAAAAAATTAAAAAAAAGGTCAGTGAGGTTTTTTTTTTTTTTTTAATTAAAGTCTTAAATTGAAAATGTAATATAGTCCAACAAATTAAAATAGCAGTACTTTGCATTGAATTAATAATTTGTGAAATCCTTTAAGCAGTTCTGTTATAAGGAATTAATTTTTAATTACATAATTTTTACACATTCAAGTTTTGAGCTATTGTATGTTTATTTTTCAGGGGCGCATTGTTTTACGCCAATGAAGTAGGACAGTATGCCATTCCATTCCTTGGAGCAGATGCTTCTGTAGTTAGAAGGACCCAACGATTCCTGCACGAACACCATGAGGAGACCCCTGTAAGTTTTAAATGTTCAAGAAACCGTGGTTCTATATAACGTTCAACTCTGTATAGTCAAAATGCTACATTGCAAAGGGTTTAATTCTTCAAAAACAATGCTTTATCTTCCATTTTAGGAAGTGGTGAGTTAGTTAAAACTAAAGGAATCATTGTAAAATGTAGGCAGCCCTGACATCACGTTGGTGATGGTGAATAAAAGTATTTGGAGGTTTAATGCTGCACCATACAAATCCAAACTGTAGCTGATTAGATGCATGAGGGAGCCTGAGTAGAGGAAGTTTGCATACCAAGGAGCAGGAACATGCAGAGTCTGGTAATCAGAAGGAAAAATCAAACGGCAGGTAGCGATAAACACAGCCTAGAATGCTTGCTTAAAGAGCGGATTTGTTGCTGGCAGTCCTTTGCGTGTAAACAGACAAGCATCTGACAGACAGGTTTTTGCCAACCGCTATCTAACTGCCAAGGGAATTCCAGGCAGAGAAACATTGCTTTCTGAAAAACTTTAAGGCAAAGCTCCAAAAAAATTGCTTTGTCTTGGGGGAAATAATTATAAATTGATTTTGGAATGTTCCAAACCTGTCTTAACGTCATGGCCACTAGAAGAAATTTCTTGAGTTAGATGATATACCAGGACGTTCTTTAACAGCTCAAAAGGTAGGACCAGCCAAGAAAATGGTAACAAACACCTTAGTGTTATGAGTAGGGGAGGATGTCAAATAGTATGAAATGTTCCTTCGTAGATTAAGTCCTAAATTCTTTTGGTACCTAGATTGCAGAAAGATATTGATAACCGAGAAAGAAAAAAACCCTTTTGAATCCATATTTGTTCCTGAATTCTAAAGCCATCAGATTAGTGTGCTATGGGGCAAAACTGGTTCCACTTCATCAAATGAAGGAGAATGATCCTCATCCTGAGGCTTTTTGTCCTACCTTGATAATTGTTTGTCTCTTAGTCCGCCCATTGTACAGCGCTGTAGAATTTGTTGGCGCTTTATAAATTAACCTTTTTACACCCTCCTGGCTAGAAGTCAGACAACCAGTCCTGTTACTTCTGTGTTTAGCTCAGTGGAGCTAAACACAAGAGTCCGCAATTTCTCAATGCACTTACCTTACAAAGACTTCTAATTGAGCTGCATTGGGAAGGTTGTGATTGGACTGCCAAAAAATGTTCTGGGCAGAGTTCAGAGTAGGGCATGCAAAAGCTGTTTTTGTCAATATCTTCCAAGGAACATCAGATGAAGAAATTCTTTTGAAGAGGTGTTTCTTCTTGAATATTTATTTGATAGTCTACTTTTTTGCATTGCTTAAAGGCTTCACTTCATAATTAGAAGACTAATGGAGAAAACCCCACAGGGGGAAGAACGCCACAAAAGAATTACCCCGGAGGATGATTCTTAAAAACAGGGTAACCTGAAAATCAAATCCAGAAAATAAATGAAATTGGGGAAAAAAAGGCTTTATTAAATCTTATACAAAAATAACTAAACTCACACGAAGTGTTTCCTAAACAAGGAAAAACTGTTGTGCAAAATTGTGTAAATGATGGCCCAAGCAGCATGACCATTAGATCATATAGTATACTATTCTAATATAAAGAATTAAAAGGATCTATATCATATCAAGTTCAAATACACTAATTACCTAAACATGTTTGACTCTTGCACCCTATTTGGAGGGAGACCCTTATAGAATAAATTAAGCGCTTTGCACTGTTACAGCATTCTGTGCTGTCCTACGTTCAATGGCCTTTAAAGCCACTGCAGCAGCATTAACAGCTTTGAGCCCTGGTGAGCCCGGAATACTTGCCTTCATGGCGTTCCGCTTCATAAAGAACAACCAATAGTGCTGTCTGGTGACACAGTATCAAGATGGGTAGAAGTAAAATAAAATGTACTCACAAGTAGAGTGCAGGCCTGTCTGCACTCGGATGATAGCGTGGGTGGTATAATCCCCACCTTAGGATATGTAAAATGCCAGGAAAAGGTGTGTGTATATATAAAAAATAAAATTGTATAAAGGCATAATAATACAAAATTATTTATTAGTATAAAATATACAATATAATAAAACCAATAACGCGTTTCGCCACTAGGGCTTTATCAAATTGGAATAACAATAAACCTGGCATATAAGGAGTATATACTTCAATAGCTACTTCAATCATTTAAAATTGGCGCCAAAAAAAGTCATCAAATGGCTGCCAATCAGAGCTGTACATGATATAAAATGAGCATACAATATACAAAAGCAAAAAAAAAAAAAAAATGTTTTAAACATAAGTTAGAATATACTTATTAATACATATATATGTAGTTAAAAAACGAGATTTAAATAATGAGATATAAAATATGTGCGCGTCACGTGACTCGCAGTGCACCTTGGGAAACGTAATGCATGAGCCACGTGACCGCCATCGGCATTCCCACACAGTGTGGGACCGTACGGCCGTCCCAAAAAGTGGGCGGCACGCACGTAAGATGGGGCAGGTTCAGAAAGCGTCACATGACCCGCAAAGTACAGTCCGCGGGTCATGTGACCGGAACCCTATCGGCACAAAGCATTATGGGAATAGTAGTTTAGGAAATACCAAATAGTTAAAACAAATATAAGAATGTGAATATAAATATATGCATAGAGACATAACATAGGAAGAGGATATAAGACAACTTTCAAGATACATTTAAATAAATGAAAAGCATTAATTATTTTATTTGTGTAAATTTATTTATCTCTCTTGGCGCAGCCTTCCTTTGTTTTTATTTGTACTGTACCATATTTGGTTACTGGCTGGCTAACTAATGCCGGATGGCGAAACAATTTTCTAACTGTGGTGACAGGTGAGGCCCTGCTAGGTGCCAAGTGATTTGAGAGGCTGTATCTATTGATTGGCGCTAGGGAATTGTTGCCACCGAAACGTTGTGGCGGGATGTTGGCCTCTCGATGACAACTAAACGCATAAGATAGAAAGGGAGTGACAAGTGAGGCCCTCTCTATGCGACCGTGCGAGGCGGCTAACTATGTTTTGGCCTGAGGGGTGAATATCCTCAAGCGTGGAGGAAATGGGTTGGCCTAGCGGGACCACTAACACTACGGCGAAGAAGCCTGGATAATTTACTAGTGGCCACCTATCCTAGATAAGCCAGTAATGCTAAATAAAAACGAAGGTTTTAGGCAAAACGTACTCGAGACCCACTTGCGTTTGGTTAGGTCAGAAAAATTGGTCACAACCCAAAGAGAACCTGAGACTTCCACCACTATTATAGTGGAAGAGAGGTTTATACCTAGTGATAGTAAAGAGTATATGTTATACAGAGTAATAAACGTACTTCCCTTTAACGCTGATAGTGCCCCATACTTTACACCTTACTTACTGGACAATGTTAAATAAAGATTTGATAGAAATGAACGTAGTTGATATAAGTCAACTTGAACCTGAAAAGCAAGCATAGAGAAATAAGTAAGGTAATCTCTGACATACTAGCCTTAATACAGTATTGTGGCCATAGCGCCATGTAAACGGACAAAAACAATTTGAAGCCAATAAGAGATTTAGTAAGCACACAACCTTTTTAACCTAAAGCTGATCCACATCTAATGCAGATGGCCCATACTTATATGTATGCTTGAATTCAGACAAAAGGTGAAGAAATCAGTAGATGCATGCCTCTACTGTACTGTCATATGTGTCTATGGTGTAACATGCTCCATTAAGTAATGTGTATATGCTGAGCCTGTCCCCCCTGTAGAATATGTGCCATAAGGGTAGGTGTCCAGTAACTATGTGAGTGAATAGACAATAGTTAAACATATATAGAATAGTTTTGGTACTTAAATATGGCGGTTAATTGATCGTAGTGCAAATGAACATAGTATAATTCTTAACACAGCAGCAGGTACCACAGCAGCATGCAACCGGCCGCACGCCTCATAGCAGTATGTACCATAGCAGCACGCACCAAAGTAATATGTTTAATAGTAACGTGCCCCACCTCTGCGTGTATTACAGTAGTATACCATATAGTAGCCCGCCATGCAGTGGCACGCTATCCATTAGCACAGTAGTATGTAATACAGCAGCATGTAGCACAACACTTATGCACTAATAGTAGTATACAACACAGTAGTATACAACATGCAAAATAGCAGCATGCAAGACAGTAGCACGTCATAAATAAGTACTTAATACATTAGTATGTAATACCATTTATAAAAACAGTAACAGGAGTGTGCAGCCCAGTCGTATGTAGTATATAATACAGTGGTATGCAATAAAAGTATGTCAAACAGTAGTATGCAGCCCAGTAGTTTGTACTGGAATATGAATATAGTGGTATGCAGAAAGTAGTATGTAATAAAGTATGTCATACGGTAGTATGCTGCCCAGTAGTTGTACTGTAGTATGTAATACAGTCTAATCCAGCCCAGTCTTGTACAGTTCTATAGCCCAGTAGTAGGTAAGCCAGCACTAAATAATACAAAATAATGTGTCACCCAGTAGCAGTAATAGGTGTTGCAGCAGCATAAAAAAACTCCTTTTGGTATGTAAGCTGCGCTTCTCCCACGTGGGAGAAGAAAACAAAACCGGTCAGCAGTGAGGAGACCTGTGTGGTCTGTGGCTGCTGCGTCCATATGTCTGACTGCCAGGCCCCCCACCCCTATGGACCGTTCGGGTGTGGCAGAGGGACTGGAATCCTGCTAACTCACGATTTTAGTGCACCACGAGCGTATGGCAAAAGCAGCCGCTTGTAATGCCAATGTGAGCGCACCGACCGCAAACCGGATGTGACCGGATCGTAATTCGGAAGTAACGAAACCAGAAGTGATGCCTGCCGAACGTCATAATCCATGGTGATGCAGGTAAAGGGGGGGTGAGTTTAAATAGCATCAACATGCCCCTCCCACAACTCCAGGCAAACCTTTACATATAAAGTGTAACAAAATACTTAGAATTACATTTTTTTATATTATTTTTTTACAAAAATGATTAAGTATACATATATATATTTTATGTGCATATTTTTGTAATCTTTTAACATAATTATGTGATTTTATTAATAAAAATTTGAGGGACCTGCTTGACAACCCAGGCAGAAAGTCCAGGCACTATATTTAACCTGCATCTTTCCAAGACTCCATAAAATCTGTACATGGGGGTAATGTTTTACTCGGTAGACTTCGCTGAACACAAATTGTAGTATTTCAAAACAGTAAATTGTATTAAAATGATATTGTCTGTGAAAGTGATGTTTTTTGCATTTTTTTTTCAAACACAAACAGCACTTACACTGACGATATTGTTGTAGTACGTTTTACTGTTTTGAAACTCGAATATTAATGCTTAATTTGTCAACAGCTAGTCCAATGTCATGTACTTTATTTTTTAAATTTCCATCATTTTAAACATTCATAGAATTTTATAATCACACTTGCATTTCTTTTTGTGCAAACATAAATAAAACTAACAAAAAACATACATACATACATACATACATACAACATAAAACGCTCTGCCAGGAGTATGTGTAGGGTAGTTATAAAGTTCAGAGATTGGATATTATATTTAAACCCCTTGTTGACATTTTTATTACCAGCCTGAAAATTATTTTACTTTTTACTCTTATTTTACTTCTAACGTAATTATATATGGGTGCCATTGTCTTTTTTTGTGCATCCTGCTCTCCATGATAAGTTGGTACCTAAGTTAATTATTAACTTGCTTCCAGCAAGTTTCTTGATCGATTTTCCAATTTTTGGCTATTAGATGTTTTGCGTATTGTTAACGATGCTCAAGATTTCTATCCATTCCGACGTTGTAATTTGTATGTCTAGGTTACGTTCTTATTTTTTAATTATTGGAGATAGTTTCCTGTGGCTCGTCTCTAATCAATTTTAATATTACAGAAATTAGTAATTTTTTGTTAATTTCCCAGATATCATCTGTTCAAAATCCTGAATTTTAATAAATACCAGATGTTTTTGAAGATCAGATTTAATTCTTATATAAGTGAATAACTCTTTTCTTAAATGACCACTATAGTGCCAGGAAAACAAACTCGTTTTCCTGGCACTATAGGGTCTTTAGGTCCGTCCCCCCCACCTTCAGGGTCCCACTCTCGCCAGGCTGAAGGGGGAGAAAGGAGTTAAACTCTTACCTTTCTCCAGCGCCAGGCTCCCGCTGGGGAACTCTCCTCCCTCTTTTGATGTCAGCTCTGCATGCTTTTCTCAATGCTTTCTTATGGACGTCAGCTTCTTCTCCCTGTGATTTTCACAGTGAGAAGCGCCTCTAGCGGCTGTCAATGAGACAGCCACTAGAGGCTGAATAAACCCTATTGTAAACATATCAGTTTCTCTGAAACTGCAGGGTTAACCCTAGTTGAACCTAGCACCCAGACCACTTCATTGAGCTGGAGTGGTCTGGGTGCCTATAGTGGTCCTTTAACAACCCGTACTTTTTCTGCAAGTGCTCAAAGGATTTTATGTGGTGGTGGTGATCTAGTAGATATTTAATCTGGTGTATTCCTGATTTCTCTCAATTGTCTATCTTTAAGTCACTTTTATATTATGCTTTATAAGTGCAAATGGGGAGCCTAGCAATGATTTTATTAGTTAATTCCAGTCTCTGGAATTTCTAAATGGACTAATCTAAAAAGTATAGTCATTGAGGCAAAACATATGATTTTATAGGATTAATTCTCCTCCACCAAAAGATTTTTAAGTTCTTTCTTTCAGTTGTTTGTTTGCTTAAGTAGAGTCAAAAAATGTATCTCGAGGGGCGGAGCCAGCAGCGCAACGGAGCAGTCGCATCTTTGTGGGCTCCGACTCAAACTTACCTAAACAGAACCCTATATGGTAGAACCCGAACACAACACTACCTATAAACTTGACTACTGACGTAAGGTAGAAAATGGGCAGAAAATCAAAAAAAGCAAAGGCTGAAAAAAGCCCTCCCAGAAGGGACATTGGGAAATGCTGCAGAATACGCAACAGGCTGCATGGTCCAAGATGGAGCTGGAGGAAGACCTTGGCTCGTAGACCTCGACTTTGATACAGACCTTTATGGAGGGAGCGTCCCTCGGGCCTATATCAAAACGTAGCACTGCGCCTAAAACAGCCGGAGACCATGTCACTGTGAGCCAACTCAAGGAAATGCTGTCTGACTTACGCAAAGAGCTGGCAGCAGATATGGCCTACTACAAAGTGGCCATAGAAGGGGCCCAATCGAAAATCACTCAACTAGAGGCCTGCACGAGCGCCCAGGACTCCGGATTAACTACGGTAGAACAACAAGTAGCAGACCTAGCAAACCACAGCAAATCGCTTGGATGCACTGGAGGACCACAGGAGGCGTTACAATCTAAAAGTCAGAGGGATACCTGACTCGGTGGGCCTCCCTGATCTGCCGCACTACATCCGGCGCCTCCTGGGTGCCCTACTCCCTGCAAAACAGGCAAAATCCCTGAGGCTCAACGGGATGTTCCGACTGCCAAAGCCGACCCGAGCACCAGCAACCGCATCCGCAGATCATAGTAAGATTTCAGACCCTATCGGACAAGGCAGCACTCCTAACAGTGCTAAAGGGCAAACTCCCTTATCGTTTGAGGAAACCACTCTATTGATTTTCCCGGACATCACCAAGAGTACACTTACTTGGCGGAAATCACTGCAGCCGCTGCTACAACTCCTCCGTGCCAAGGAGATGCCCTATCGATGGGGAACCCTGCGAGCTGTATCGTTCACCCACAACGGGACCTCCCATAAAGCACAGAGCTACCAAGACCTGGAATCGCTCCTGACATCTGCGGGCATACTCCAAGCTGCACCCATGAAAAGAACGGGACTGAACAGGCTAAACCCAACCAACATACGGGAGTTCACCCCAAGGGAACCTCTGAGGTCCGCAACCGCCTGTCAACCGACTTGAGGAATTTGAGACCACACACCCCAAGGGAACACTTCTAACCCACCACCAACGATAAACATGTTGCAATTTTTTGTTGAGTTCTATTTTATGTTTTTGTTGACCGTTCCTGACACCTACCTGAGGTCGGCTTTAATATTTCTCCGGCATCTTTTTCACTACCAAGATATAAATGGTCATGTCTTCCCTTTCACAAATTCCACCTGCAGACAGTAGGACTCGTGACGCATAGACGGACAACCAAACAGGCAGACACGACGAGCTCCCACATATGGTAGCCCTCACTAAAGTGACCACAGCCGGGCTCCCATTGCTATAGCCTAGCCATACTCGAGCAACCATACCAACCCCCTCGCCCCCCCTCCTGCCGGTTCCTAGATAAGCTCTTTAAAAAGCATACGCGCAAAGAGGGGGAAGATCCCGTATGTGAATGAAAGCCACTTAGAACCCTACTCTAACAGCACACCCACATAGGGTACTACTGACGACGAGCACCAAGTATGTTTAAAATAATGTAACCTTAACCAAAAATGTGCAATGTTCTTATGTGTCCAATACTGTTTTAAAATGTTACTATTGCTGGCAAAAGCTGTTGTGGCGTTGCCTACTACCATGTTTCACATGAGCAAAATAAAATAAAGAATTTAAAAAAAAAATGTATCTCCACCATTTTAGACACTTGTGGACAGATTTGTATTCCAAAGCAGTTAAAATATAAAATAATAAAGAATATTTTTATTATTAGTTCGTATTCTACTTCGTGGAGGATGTTACTAAAAATTGCCATGGATTTTTTTTGAAGTTTATTTTATATCCCAATATGTTAAAAAATTCTTCAATTAATTTTATATAGTTCTCTCTTAGACTGTACCGTATTCTGTAGTGTCAGTATTGCATCATTCGCATACATAATTAATTTTGATTCTACATCTTGGTACAACAAAGGGCATAGTGGGCAGCCCTGTCTTGTTGCATTGTGTAGTGAAAACCATCCTGAGTTAACACCTACAATTCTGGCTGTTGGGCATGAGCAGAGATTCATAACTGCCCTTAAGGACACAGCTTCAGAAGCTTGTCTTACGCTTAAGGACAAAGGCCTTTTTTGCATTATTTTGCTGTTTGTATTCAAACGCAATTTGCATCTCTGTCATTTATTGCACCAACACATATTATACATCGTTTTTTAGAGGGCAAACAGGGCTTTAATTTGATGTCACATATACATTCTCATTAATTGTATAAAAATGCCAAAATATTGGGGGGGAAAATAATTTATTTTTTCACAGTTTTGGCAATAATAGCGTGTGCATAATATGTCCAGCTTAGAAAAAGTAATTCAAAATAAATTAATTTATGTGTCTTGATTTATAGAGTACATCATATGTATAGGATTTCAGCTTATTTTGAAAGCTACAGGTCACAAAATACAAGAACTAAAATAAAATTTCAATTTGCAACAATTTTAGAATTTGGTATGTTTGTTGTTTAGTAGCCATCACAGAAAACAAAATTGTCACACAAAAGTATATATTTATATAAAGTAGACATCAAAGGCTATTTATCCAAGGTTAGTTTGACACTTTTTACGTAGCCATTTCATCGCCTATCTCTGCTAAATATTGGAGTAAAATTGTGTTTTTCTTTATTTTGGCATATACACATATAACAAGGTTTTTGTAATGTGTATTTTGTAAAGCTGATGTAGCTGAACCCTATATTGTGTTCAGCTACATCTGCTGAGTATAACGATACCCCCATTGTATGCCTTTGGTACTTTTCTGTAAAGCTATAATGCCATATAAGAGACAAGGCTATTTTAGTTTCTATAGTTAGAATTTTCGTAGATGGATTTGACAAGCCTATGTCTCATTTTAGGGTATTCTAGCAATGTGACTGTTCAAATAACCCCACAAAGGGCTGTTATTTGATAAAGCAGACACCCCAGGGTATCTTATATGGTGTATATTATGTCCTTACTTGTCACCATTTTTTTCACCAATTTATGTCAATGTTTGATGTGGGGGGGAGTTGCCATTTTACCTATATGTTGCATTTTTGCTGAGTATTTCTTACACTTAATATGTACCACTGTCATAAATATCCCCAAATTATACTCCGTTACACCTTCTGAGTAAAACAATATGCCCGATGTATGACCTAGACACTATTTTGTGAAGTTACAGTGCTGTAAAAGAGACGTGACAAGTTCATGTTTTTAAGTGTGAATTTTCATGGAGGGTTTTGATGCGTCCGTGTCCCACTTTGGAGAACTTGAGCAGGCTACATATTACAACTACACCATAAAGGCATACCATTTCTTAAAGAAGACATCCCAGGGTATTTCAAAAGGCATATTCTGAACCTTAGCGTGGGATAATTTTTCCGCTAGCTTGTACCAAGTGTAGTGGTAATAAGCGATTTTTTTTATTTTTATTTTTTTGCTTTTTGACACACAAAGTGAGTTTGCACAGTATATTTTGAAAATCGTATGTGTGCTACAACTGTATAATACTTCATGTTTCTCAGCTATGTCTTCTGAGCACAGCAATACCCCCGTATGTACCTTTGCCAGGTATATGTGGATGTTAAAGGGGCATATTTGAGACGCAGCCATTCAGTTTTTTTTCTAACTTTGAAGTTTTACGCTGTGTCCATGTTCCATTTTGGAGTAGTTTAGATGGTTGGTTATTGAAAATTCCCCACAAACATATGCTAGTTATTAAAGAATACACAATGGGTAATTCAAAAGGCATATTTTGAACCTTAGTGTGGGATGATTTTTTTTCTCTAGTTTGTTCTAGGTGTAGTGGTAATGAGCATTTTTTTATTTTTATTTTTTTTTACTTTTTAAAACTAGTTTTTAAAACTTTATTATTATTTTTTTGCTTATTAATTCTTTTTAAACTTTCCTAAACTTTCTTAAAACTTTTTTTACAGATTTTACCATTAACCCCTAACTAGCAGTAAGCAGCACTAATGGTAAATTCCCCAATTTCCCATAACTCCCACCCACCCCAGCTAGCAAAATATACAATTTTAAAATATTTAAATTAATTAAATAAATTGAACCCCTGAGGGTTAAAAAAAACAGTTAACCCTAAGGGGTTTACCCCCTTAAGGACACATGACATGTGTGACATGTCATGATTCCCTTTTATTCCAGAAGTTTGGTCCTTAAGGGGTTAAAAAAAAAATCTGATCACCGTATAATACTGTGATCTGTATTTTGATCACTGTAGGTGTTCAACTGGCAAGGAAGGGGTTCATTTTAATTTTTAAAAAAATTTTTTTTTTAACAGGGAGAAGATCAGCTCTGATCAGTCTCCCTGCACTTCACACTGAACCCGGAAGCGCAGGGAGGCGGACCAGGAGTCCCTGCAGCACCTGTGCTCGCTCTGACAGCCTGTGCTCCCCTAATACAGAGGCAGACGGGAGCAGCGTTAATCGCGGTGATCTGGGGTCAACTTTACCGAATGACGGACCTGGTCCGTCATTCTGCATTAAGTTTCTCCGCCTTGATGGACCAGGTCCATCACTCGGCGGGAACAGGTAAAGAGGTTACCTTGGAGCCCCATTGCTTTTTAACGAGCTTTCCAGGAATTCCCACCCATATTTTCATAGTATCTTTACATGGTTTAGTAATGTCATGTACTCTTGGATCTACTAGTGTTCACCTCTGAAAGTATGTACTATTTTTATTTCATTCCTATTAATTAGTGCATGGTAGGCAATCGTTCTATTGGACCCAACCTGCAACATGAGCAGATTTCAATGTGTAGAATTGGTTAACATTTCTCTTGAATGGATGTATGTAGAGGGCCTTATGTTTTGTGATATTTCGTCATATGATGGTGTAGCACTACCTGCACAAACACATTTATTCCTGGCAGCCATTTTGTAGAAGGCTATTGGTAAGTATGTGTCTGTGTGTGTGTGTATGTGTGTGTTTATATATGTATATGTATTAAGGCAATTTTGCCTGGATTTGTGGGAGGTGCTGGCTTGCTACCCCTAGCCTACTTAAGGCACTCCCCTTACCTTGCTCCTTACCGTTCGAGGTCAGCGTTGAATGAGGATCCACTTCCGGGTTCTCTCAGACGCCATCTTGGTTTCTTACCCACGAGTTTCTCCGCGGCAAGCTGTGTCCAGGAATCCTCTTGCAGGCCTTTTCCGTCCGTCCAGCTTCTTACCCGGGTCTTCATCGTAGATCGCGTCCCAGGGACTCCTAAAACGTAAGTTAGACCTACCTGTCACGCCAGGATCGGTTCCCACGGCGCACGGTACAGCACGGGTCCTCACTTTATGGTTTTCTCTGCACAGTCGCATTACATAGCCTTTCTCGAGGCTTCATTTCGTACAAATTGTTCGGCTAAATTCATGCGTATTAGAGAAGCGATCAGCTCGCACAACTGTTTTCCCTTGCTTCATTGAAACGATTATCATTTCGGTTGTTTTTTCCGTTTGGCACTTATTCATGTTATATTCATGCACGATTGCCGTTCGCATTAAAGTGCATACGTTTAAGCTATTCATGCCAAAGCCATTTTCATTGATATTTTTAAGGTATCACTTATTACATTAAGGGCATGCAACCAGCTAACATTTCTGTATGGATCATTGGATTCCCACGCTTACAGGAGTTTTCATAAATTATCCATTTCATTTCAATTAACTCAGCCTACGTTACAGGCCTCATTTCTTTGTTATGACCATGACACATAAGGCTTTAATTCCTTTTCATGCATACTCAGGTTGAATCACACGTACTGATCCAACCAATCATACGTTTCCTGCACAGTAATATACATATTACACCATTATTATATAACACATATGTTGTTTGTACATAGGCCACGGCCTCCCTCAGATGTCTTATTTAAGCCATGACAACATTTCTGAGTAACTCATATCTATTCCCATGGTATCAACATTTTATTTTCAATCATATGCCAGCAAAACCATAAAAACATTGCTGCTACAGGCTATAAGTCTGTTTTCTTTCCAACAATCCACACTCATCATACTACTCTCTTTTACCCATTTCAGGCTGTCAAGCTTATATATATATTTGCTCCACATGGTTTTTCCTGTGAATTTGTCATACTACCTGGTATGTACACCTGCTCATATGGTATTCTACCATACATTTCATTTCCTACATTTATTGATGGTATTTCACACTGTACTATCATAAGCACCTAACACAAGTGTTAAGGCAATTTTGCCTGGATTTGTGGGAGGTGCTGGTTTGCTACCCCTAGCCTACTTAAGGCACTCCCCTTACTTTGCTCCTTACCATTCGAGATCAGCGTTGAATGACCCTCCCACCACACCATATTTTAACATTTCTTTCTATTTTTCTTTCCCTGGGTAGGCCCTCTTCTTTCTCAGGCCTACCTCATCATTGGTTCCGGCACACCACAACCGACTTGGTCTTTTTATTATCCTACATTTATTGATGGTATTTCACACTGTACTATCATAAGCACCTAACACAAATATATATATATATATATATATATATATATATATATATATCATGTTTTGTGTACCTGAAACTCACCATGACCATATGGCAAGACATGAAGTACCCATAAAGTTTGATTAAAGTGCCCATAAGTCTCTGCAAACTGAGGGTTGCAGTTTGAAAACCACTCCACTCTGAATATTAATTGGTTATAATCCGCTACGCCGCTGTAAAGATTTCTGACTGAGTGCAGTTGTGTGTTGGCAGTTGTTGACAAGCATCACATTTCACATCTTCAAGGATATAATAAACTCAATAGAAAAAAAAATAAAAAAATAAATATTAAATTACACTATAGAGCAAATTCAAATTTTAGGAGGTGAAGTCTTTATTTCAGACAGGTCTTTCAGTGTTCTGTGATATGATGCTTTGTAGTTGTATTTTTATTTTCTATAGGTATATGCGTGTTTTACACCATATATATTTAATTTGTCGCTCAATTACCAGTATATGATTTGTTTCCATTAGGTGCAGTACTCTGCCTATACTGCAGTGGGTGGTGTTGGATCAGCAATCAAACTGATTTTTGCTGGATTACTATTTGTACTTCTCTCAAAATTTAGCTGTGGAAGAAAGCTTATGATAAAAGTAAGTGTTTGTATAGTTTGCTAGTTAATCATGGTAACAAAGCAATTTTAACAAAGCAAGCCCTTAAACGTTGTGTACATTTTTCTACCTATTTTTCTTTTTCTGCAGTACCCCAAATTCTTTTCATTTGGCTACGTCTCATCGGAGGGACCAACACAGCAGCAGGTAATTTTAGAAACATTTAAGGACTCAATTGGTGCTCTGGGCACAAAGCACAATAGCGTGAACTCCTATGTTAGACTGCCACATTTTTATAATGAGAAATCTGTGAAAATCAGGCTAGATAAAAAGGTTATATCGTGCTTAACCCCTTAAGGACCAAAATTTCTGGAATAAAAGGGAATCATGACATGTCACACATGTCATGTGTCCTTAAGGGGTTAATGAACTTAAATTGGTAAATTCCACCGTAACCAAGCCATATTAGTGCCAAACAATCCACTTTGCCCCCAGAATATATCAGATCAGGATATTGCTCGGAGCATACCCCAGACATTAAATTACCTTCAATGTGTGCATACTATGTTAACTATGTTAACACATCTAAAGAGAATTATGAGTGGATAACGCATCATGTTAAAGAACAGGTTAGACCTATTAGCAGTGGTGTATCCTGGTTTTGTGCTGCCCTAGGCAGGACAAAACTCAGGCGCCCCCCCAACCGCCCCTGCGCGCGCGACCCCCACCCATCCCTTCCCCCCCCGCACGCATGACCCCTCCCATCCCTTCCCCCCGCCTTCTAAATACACACACACTCACTAGCAGAGACTCACTAGCAGAGACACACTCACTCACACACTAACAGACACACTCACTAACAGACACACTCACTAACAGACACACTCACTAACAGACACACACACACACACTCACTAACAGACACACACAATAACACACACTCACTAACAGACACACACACACACTCACTAACAGACACACACACACACTCACTAACAGACACACACACACTAACAGACACACACAATAACACACACTCACAGACACACACAATAACACACACTCACAGACACACACAATAACACACACTCACTAACAGACACACTCACTCACATTAACACATGTACTTTTTAAACCTTCCCCCCTCCCCCCCTCCAGCCTCCTTACCTTTGGGAGTGCTGGGGAGGGAAGGGGTTCTCTATCTCCCTGGTGGTCCAGTGGCTGCTGGGTGGGGGGCATTGGCGGGCGGGTGGCTGACGAGGGAGCTGAGCAGTCAGCTCACAGGAAAAGCTCCCTCGTCAGCCGCCCGGCACCCAGCATGTCTGTTAGCCGCGAGGCTAACATGACATTTGCCTTGGGCATTTGGGGGGCGGCTTTTTTTGCCGCCCCATAAAAATGCCGCCCAAGGCAAATGCCTTGTTTGCCTCGCGGCTAAAACGCCCCTGCCTATTAGACATGGCGTTTTAAACAGGTTAACTGTTAAAAGGATCATGGTGGATAAGCCACCAAGACCCAGCATACTCTATCACCATCGCTTCATATATATTGCTTAGCAGATTAAATTAAACTATAAGGCAGAAATAATAAAATAACAGAACTGCGAGTGTTAGCATATATGGGTTAAAACGGTGACTGATAGCTGCAATGAAGCTTTCTTGGTGATAGCTGGCAAAACGCTTGATGTCTCAGCCATGCTCGTCCATGCTTGATGTCTCAGCCGTTTGCTGCAGGCCACAAAAGTCGCTCGGATGGAGCCAGCAGTTTAGTCTGCATTCTTGATGTTGGGATGGAGATCACACTGTTCCCTATCACCTAGCAGCTAATATGAGATCAGTAGTCGTTTCTTATTCATAGATAATCGGCAAGATTTACCACCAGATGTAGGAGCTGCAGTGACATGCATCTGCTCTGCTCCGTGGTCAGGCCCTGTTCCCACATTTAATGGAAAATTTAAAGTCACCAAAACAACTTTAGCTTAATGAAACAGTTTTGGTGTATAGATCATGCAACTGCAGTCTCACTGCTCAATTATCTGCCATTTAAGAGTTAAATCACTTTTTTTTTTTTTTTTTTTAAATGCAGCCTTAATGTGACTTACACAGGTTTCTTAAACACTTCCCATAAACCGTCCTCTAACGTTTAAATAAAATCTGCTTCATTAAGTGAAAGTTGTTTTGGTGACTATAGTGTCCCTTTAAAATAAAGAATAAAACTAGCTTCAGTGGCACTCATTCTATGATTTGATTGTATATGTATATAAATAAAGTGTGCAAATTCATTAACATGTAAATTTATAAACCTTTATTGACCAAATCCATTTGCTTCGTTTGACAGATGGACGAATCTTCTTTTGACATGACATTCTTTGGTGAGGGTTATAGTAAGGGTAAAGACCCACAGCAAGGGAAGCCAGATTTGAAAATCTGCACTCAGGTTTCAGGACCAGGTAAGCTGAGCTTTCTACTGGAAACCCTTAATTTATACATATATATTTAAAGACCTAGGCTTTAGCCAAAGGACAAATTGTACAGCTTATTTTACATATATATGCTCCTACTACAACCTTGTCTAAACCTAAACCCAAATACATTTGATGAATCAAATTACAAAGCTTGAGACCGATAATCACTCTAAATTCTATCTATCTAATGATCTATCTAAATCTCCTGCTGTTTTAACCCTGCAGCACTAGCCCTAAACACACAGTTTTAAACCTGCACTCACAGCAATACCCTACAACTGTGCTGTATAAGTCAATCCAAATATGGTATAGAAAAATGAGTGTCACAAATCAAAAATTGGAAAGTGTTGTTTATCTCTCAGAATTACAGGGACCTTGGGGGAACAATGAAAGGGTGCTACAATTAAGCCTGTGGCATTTCAGGACGTCACTTGTGGCTCTGTCCTGAGTAAGCCCCACTAGCTCCAATATTAAAGTTAAACTAATGATGCTTTGAGTCATCATGTCACTTTGGTTGTTATATACCCTTCTCTGGCATGCAATGTTCTACTGAAGTAAAAGAGCAAAACAGTCATATATTATTTTTAGAATGTATTTCTTTACATTGTAATTGCAGAGGTTGCCTATGTGAGTACTCCCATTGCAATGGTGCAGGCCGCAGTGACCATTTTAAAGGAACCAGGTTCCCTCCCAGAAGGGTAGGTATAGCATCATGGACATTCTTCATTCTATTTGACACCACTGCATATATTTCACATGGGGGAAAAAAAGATATACAGCATATATTAGACTACCCAAGGAAGAAAAAAATAAACAAATATGCAACTGTAGGTTATGTTGTTCTATGTGTTTTCTGATTGTGGTCCGAAAACTTCCAATTTTTTTTTATTTATTTTTATTTATATATTTATTTGTATTTTCTACATATACTAGGGTCAGTCCTGCTTGACTTACATTGTGTCACTAAAGGGTTAAATTGTGTTTTTCAAATTTTGTTCATAAGCATCTTCATTTAGAGCAGGGGTGTCTAACTCACAGCAGTGAGGAGGCAGGGAGCACTTTACATACTGTGCTCCTCCACAAAAGCTCCCTTGTGTGGCCTGCAGTGAGCAGGCCCCTACGATATGACGTCATCCCCACACAGGCATCACTGCTGGGTGCGCGAGGGACCTGTGCACCGGCATCACTGCTGGGTGCGCGAGGGACCTGTGCAGGAAGAGCACAGATATAGATCCCAGGCCAGCAGCAACTGTTAGTCACCAGGGATAAAGGATCCTTTCAAGCCATCCCAGAGCAAGGTTAGGGAGGTTGGGTGGACCTCTTAAGTACTCAGTGTATAAATGTAATTTTTCCTGACATATGGTGGCAGTACAATAGGGATGTACTCTTCCCTCGGGACAAGCATCTGAAATAAATAATTAACATAAAAAGTTCCTCCCTTTACCAGGTGTAAGTTGGTGATTGTGTGTGTGTGTGTGTGCGTGCGCTCAATGCAGCAAAAAGTTGGATACCTATGTTTAAGAGCAGTGGTTTTGATTTAGGGATTACCCTGTTGTGTCACAATTTTTTTTTAAAAATAAAAAAAATTCTCTCTAAAACCACGTTAAACACAACTGGGTAATCCCTAAATCCTGGACTGTTAGGTGATTTTTGAGGACTGGGTTGGGAACCACTGATTTAGAGCATTGATAAGTTAAATACATTGGCTGACCATTCCCCACTTACAAATCTATGTTATTTAATTATGAATACATATATAGTTTTACTTCAGCTTTTTCTGTGTTCTGTTTGTTATAATTGTAGCTTTATGGTTAAATGCATAAGATGACTTTCGTGCTTTGACTGCAGACAAAGATGGTTTGTTTTTCCAAGCAGATTTTACTGATACAACTAAGACCCAAATTCACCTTCCCTGCTACATAACCAGCCTAAATTTGCCCAGCTGCCATGAGATACAGATTACATGGTGGTAGTGCACCGTACTTTAAAGATGTATAGCAGAATATTAGAATACATTGATGAATGCTAATTCAGACTCAATTATTTTTCTTTCCTTTTCCCATATTGAGTCCCAGTATCATAATTCTTATTATATGATGTAAAGAGTGTAAAAAGCAATAAGAGTATTGTGTGCAGCTAGATAATGCACACAGCTCTCCATGAAATAGCATCATAGCGATTGCCACATGTGGGCTGTTCTCAATGAACAGTTGATTGGACACAGGGCATCAATCTTGATAATCTCACCAAGGAAGGATTGGACTGCAGTGTGGAGTCTGTTGTGGTGCTGGATTACAGGTAAATGTAATCGCTTTATTTTTATTTTTTATTTTTTTTAATTTAAAGAAAGTTATGGGGGACCAGTAAACTAAAGAAGTAAAGAAACATCTAATTTAAATATTATGTTTGTTTAATGAAAGTTACTGTTCTGGCGTCTGATTTCCATTATTTCTGCCCTTTGTCCTAAAAGGCAGAAACCCTAATACTAACATAAACAATCCACCAGTACAATAGATATGTAAAGCTGAAGCATGTATTGTGAGGAAAAATTACATCTATGGGTTCAAGAGGCATCCATGAACCACTCAACATTTGGTCTCAATGTTTCTCTAGAACCTCTCCGGTATCCCATAATACACACTTCACCATTATATATCGTTTATATTCCTGATATCCTAATTATTTTTGTATACATATATATGTGTTTTATTTTATTCTGCTCTGTTTTTGCAGGGGGGGTGTATTCACACCAGGAGCAGCATTCTCGAAGACCAAGCTTATTGAACGCCTTAACAAAGCTGGTCTGCACTTTAAAGTAATCAGCACTTTGGGTCCCTGAATGCTGTGAAGCTGATGCGCTGCATGGGGGGAACTAATGGCTCACGGAAGAGATCTTTAAAGGCATTTAATTGTTTAAATTTTTTAAGTACAAATAGACTAATTAAATAACTGCATTAATAAAATTTTATATTCTAACTGCAAAATAAAATGCTTGTTTACTCTTATTCAACCATAATATTATTTCCTCTAATTGTAGAGAAGAGAAATTCACTACAACTTAATTGCTGATTAAGTGATTTGACTACTTGATGATCTGTTGTATTTATCTTCATGTTCAAATTGTTTTAGTATTTTTAAATCTTTCTGCAGCATAACCCTGCCCAAATTACTCAACTTGATTGGCGCATTCACAGCAATCACGTGCATATGGTGAACAGGAAAAGCTGAGTACCCTTTATTTCTTCCATTGAGGATAAGGGTGACTGGCATGTATTGGGCTGAAGGAACACTCTGTAACGACTAATAAAGGATAGTCATATTATTTTATGGATAAAATATTTTACCAGGAAAGATGCATTGAGATTTCTCTAGTTTTAAAGTCTGTCCTGGGTCCACAAAACATTGCATTGATACAGTAGGGTACAATAAATGTTAATACACAATATATACAAAATGTAACATAGAACAGGTAGGAAATATATAATCAACCATGACATGTGCATTCTGTTTTGAGATATGTAGAGAGGGATCTCTTAGGCTTGGGGAAGATTTGAATGTGTGCGGGAGGTCGTTCCACGATGGTGCTCTGTAGGAAAAGGAGGATTGAGCTGCTTTCTTCTTGTATTGAGGTAGATTAAATAAAGTGCTGGTACTGGATCGGAGGTTAAAGGAGGTGGGAACAGCCGGGGAGAGCATTTTGCTCCGGTAGGGTGGGAGCTTCCCAGAAAAGCTCTTAAACACAAGGCTGGAAAGATGAAGGGTGCGTCTGGATTCCAGCGACAGCCAGTTAGTTCTTTTAGCATGTCACAATGGTGGGGCAGCCTATAGATTAGTGAAGTGAGGCATGGGGGGGTGAGCAGCCTATAGATTAGGGAAGTGAGGCATGGGGGCAGCCTAGATTAGGGAAGTTGGGGGGCAGCCTATAGATTAGGGAAGTAAGGCATGGGGGCAGGGGGCATAGGCATGGGGCAGCTAGCCTATAGATTAGGTGAGGCACGAGGGGGGCAGCCTATAGATTAGGAAGTGAGGATGGGGGAGACAGCCCTAAATGAAGAGTCAGGAAGGTAAAATAAGAGAAGGAGAAGGAACAGAAATGAGCAGAAAGGGACAGAAGGAGCACAAAGGTAAAGGAGCAGAAAGAATCAGAAGGTGCACAAAGTAGGAGAAGGAGCAGAAAATAATCAGAATTAGAAAGGAGCAGAAGGGCGCAAAATAAGAAGAAAGTAGCAGAAAGGTACATGAGCAGAAGGAGCCAAGGATAGAAGACAGTGTCAGAAGAAAAAGAAGACTGTCAAATGTAGGAGAAGAAAAGGATATTGGAGCAGGGAGGACAAATGAAGTGAACCCTCCACTTTAATCTGGACACCACATCATAAGGCTTTGGTACCTGGGCCTGGCAGGGAAACTCTGGACCTTCTCATCCCCCAGGTAAAAAAAAAAATATCTGTGTTAATGTGTTCACTTTTATTTACTGAGTGTCAGGAAGCACAGAGTGCCGCTGGGTAGGGGTGTTGCTGATTGGCTAGAGCAGTCAGCTGGCACTGTAAGCCAATCAGTAGCTCCCCATTCATAAAAAAGTTAAACATTTTTATGAACCGGGAACTAGCGATTGGCTTAGAGCGTCAACTGTCCACACTAGCCAATCCGGGGCACCCATGCCTGACGTCAGTCTGCACTTCCTGACACTCAGTTTCAGAAGCCAAATACCACTGAGCGACCTGGAGCTGGAGGAAGTCTTTGGGGTTAAACCATTTGAGAGTGGTTTGACCCCTTAAAGGAAAGAGAGCACACAGGGGCTTCCTGGCATAGCATTTTCATTCAGATGAAGTTGTTATGGTGACCAGAATGTTCCTTTAATTTGCTTAAAGGAACACTATAGTGTCAGGAATACAAATGTTTTCCTGACACCATAGTTGTGAAAACGCTATTCACCCTGGCTTTATGTGATAATGACTATACCCCTTCCCTTTCATGACACTGTCAAAAAGGGACCAAGCATGGATGTCATTACAATTATACCACCCCCCACGGAATAATTCCTGCGGACGCCCATACTGGCCTTATCTACAGGCCAGTGGGTACATGGGAATCCAACAACCTCCAGTCTGCCCTAACCGACACAGACACTGTAGACAATTTATTACAGATAGAACAAGAGCAAGGCTTTGTCCTAGGTCCATTTACCGAACCCCCGTTTTCTAACTGGAGAACAAACCCCACTGGATTGGTTCTGGGGAAAACATCACACAAACAGAGGCTCACAATAGACCTATCAGCATCACATTCTTCGGTGATACCAAGCCTTAATTCCCTCATCCCGTCAGAAGAATTTTCGTTACAGTATTCTACCATAGATGATGCCATAGCCACCATCATCTCAACAGGGAAACTGATATCGTAAATGCTTTCAAATTACTCCCCATCCACCCGTCGCTATGGCACTTGCATGGAATCAAATGGAGGAGCCCGTATTACTTTTTCACAAGGCTCACTGGATCCAAGAGCAGTCCTAAGATCTTTGATAATTTTGCGGAGACCTTGTGCTGGCTGCTCCTGAATACCAGTAGGTGCCATAGCGTCAATTCAGCCCCCCAAGCAGTCTACACAAAGCAATAAACTTGTTCGACTCTATAGGGGTTCCAGTATCTCCAACAAAGACGGAAGGACCAGACACGGTCATTCAGTTCTTGGAGATACAACTAGATTCCATAGCGATGGAAGCCAGCCTCCCACAAGACAAGATCAATAACATCACACAGACCATTCAACAGCATCTACGGATGCTATGGAGCTACAGTCACTGATTGGCTCTCTGAATTTTGCCATGCATATTATACCTCAAGGCAGATGATTCATATCAAGACTCTTTTGCCTTCTTCCTACACTTCCTGATGAACACAAACGTACCACTCTTAACCAACAAGCCACTGCAGATTTACACATGTGGAACTTGTTCCTAGCAAACTGAAACGGCAGGAGCATGTTCCTCCCACAAATCTCAATAGATTCCCCCACCATATGGACCAACGCAGCAGCCTCCACAGGGTTTGCGGCCATTTTTGGGGACAATTGGCTTTGGGGGAGGTGGCCGGTAGAAGGAAGTCAGATCGAAGGGTTCTATAAGAACTCCGCACTCTTTGAGGTATATCCCATCGTAGCCGCAGCAGCAACATGGGCTCATTTATGGGCAGGTAGACCGGTTCGATGTTTCTCTGACAATTTGTCATAAACAAAGCATCCCTAAGCATTATGAAATTCATCAGACGACTAATGTGGTTGGCAGCCAGTCACCAATTTTATCTGGTATGTTACCACGTACCAGGTATCTACAATACAGCTGCTGACCAACTATCTCGTCTTCAATTTCAGGCGTTCAGGAGGTCCCTACCAACAGCCTCACTGATAGCTACGACCGCCCCCCCAGCTCCAGGAATTAATCATACAATAGAAGAGTTGCTAAGTCACAGCAGGGAATTGACTAAATTGGCCCTCTCCAAGAATATGCACACTGCTTATGACAGAGCTTACTGCTTATATAAAAAGTTCATGTCAGATCGCCACCTTACCAACTGGTTTGATAATACAACTTTGGTGGCTTTTGACACTTTTTGCCACATCAAACTTAAAATGTCACATAACACCATAAAGTTATATCTCACAGGTATCCAACACCACATGCTCTCAGCTCATCCCAACAAACAAGGATTCCTCACATCCTACGTGATAAAAAGCTTCCTTAGGGTATACTCAAATCCAGGGGCGGACTGAGAGCCTTTGGGGCCCCCGGGCAAAATTAGATCCCAGGCCCTTTGAAGGCCAAATATATGTGCATTTTAATAAATGTTAAATATAATTCATAATACGGCATTCCTTTGGATGTGTGTATTGTGAAAACCTGTGTATCAATGCATGTTTGTATTTGAGCCTGTGTGAATGCACTTGTGCATGTCTGGATGACTACATGTGCTTTTTTGTATATAGTGTCTGTGTGAATGCATATGTGACAGGTGACAGAGTGTGTGAGGGAGAAGGTGACAGGTGGAAGAGTGTGGGAGGTTGTGACAGGTGGCAGAGTGAGGGGGTACCTGGTGGCAGAGTGAGGGAGGGGTTGAGTGGTGGCAGAGTGAGGGGGAGACACAGTGAGTGGGGGTGACTGGTGACAGAGTGAGGGAGTGGGTGACTAGTGACCCCCTTACTCTGTCACTGTGTTACCCCCTCCCTCTGTCACTAGTCACCCCCTCCCTCACTCTGTCACTAGTCACCCCCTCCCTCACTCTGTCACTAGTCACCCCCTCCCTCACTCTGTCACTAATCACCCCCTCTCTCCCTAGTCACCCCCTTCCTCACTCTGTCACTAGTCACCCCATCCTTCTCTCTGTCACTAGTCACCCCATCCCTCTCTCTGTCACTAGTCACTCCCTCCCTAACTCTGTCATTGTGAAGGAAGGAAGGGGTGACTGGTGACAGAGTGAGGGAAGGGATGACTAGTGGCAGAGTGAGGGAAGGAAGGGATGACTGGTGACAGAGTGAGAGAGAGGGTGACTAATGACAGAGTGAGAGAGGGTGTGACAGAGTGAGAGAGGGGGTGGCTGTCACTAGTCACTCCCTCCCTAACTGTCACTGTGTCACCCCCTCCCTCACTCTGTCACTAGTCACCCCCTCTCTCACTATGTCACTAGTCACCCCCTCCCTCACCATGTCACCCCCTTCCTCACTCTGTCACTAGTCACCCCCTCTCTCACTCTGTCACTAAGGACAGAGGGGGTGATTAGTGACAGAGTGAGGGAGGGGGTGACTAGTGAGAGTGAGGGAGCAGGTGACACAGTGACAGAGTTAGGAGGGAGTGACTAGTGACAGAGGGATGGGGTGACTAGTGACAGTCACCCCTTCCCTCACTCTGTCACTAGTCACTCACTCTGTCACCTGTCACTCCCTCACTCTGTCACTAGAGTGAGGGGGTGACTAGTGACAGAGTGAGGGAAGGGGTGACTAGTGGCAGAGTGAGGGAAGGAAGGGGAGACTAGTGACAGAGTGAGGGAGGTGGTGACTGTCACTAGTCACCACCTCCCTCACTCTGTCACTAGTCACCACCTCCCTCTGTCACTACTCCCTCCCTCCTTCTGTCACTAGTCACGCCCTCCCTCACTCTGTCACATGTCATCCCCTCCCTCACTCTGTCACCAGTCATCCCCTTCCCTCACTCTGTCACCCCCTCACTCTGTCACTAGTCACCCCCTCACTCTAGTGACAGAGTGAGGGAGGGGGTGACTAGTGACAGAGTGAGAGAGAGGGTGACTAGTGACAGAGTGAGGAAG